ATATCTGACTCTTTTAGTTTTAGGTCTTACAAACAACCGTTATGTGAGCAAAACTATAATACTCTCCTTAGCAACTTTGTTGCGAGAGTATAAAAAGAAAAACAGTTGGATATTATTTACATATTTGTTAACATGTACCCCTTTTTAATGGTATTTTGGCTTAACGCAGATGTCTGACGCAGTAATTTCACTCTGCGTCAATTTTAATTTTGGGTTTCGTTTGTTATTTCATATAGTAGTGATGCTATTAAAGTTTTAATTTCGCTTTCACCTAATGAAGAATATGTGAACGTGAAGTTGCATTTGCCGATTTAAATAAATTTCTCCATAATTTAAAATACTTTCGGCATTTCACTACACATGTACATACATACATAAAGTGGCAGGCAAAATCACTTACTGTAAATTAATTATGTCGATTTCATACTTTTAAACGATCAACTATTTAGTGAGGGTTTGTTGTCATTGTAACATGTTTAATAGTTTCTCCTGTATATTTGTAAAATGTTTCGGTGGCACTGAAACTGACACCTAAAACTATGCAGCTAAAAGCATTATGTTGTCAACAAATTTAATACATTCTAGATGTATTTTTCGGTCAATATAGCTGCCAGTTTATGTTAAGTGTTCTTAGTTTGAAGTGTTCTAAAGCCTTCTTTTTTATTTTTATATTCTTGTAATCAATATCTAAAGAGTATTATGTGCTGAACACAATGCTCGCGACAGACTGCAGCAGCACGACAGTGAACTGAAAATGGCGTTGTGAATCCTACTACATGAACATTCGTAAGATGGCAGCGATATAACAATGGCCAACATGTAAACAAGACAACACAGCTCTCCATTTTGCATGTACATAATTTCCCTGTGTCCAATTTTAATATTTTGTTCAAAGTGAAATTTTTTATGCAAAAAATAAGTAAATAGGTATATTTATTTGTTTTAAATTGTCACTTGTTATTACAAATGATATAATACAGCTATTTTATGCTTTAATTTGTAAAATAACGTCAGGTTTGTTAGAGCTTTGAATAATTTTACATTTTATTTATTAGTGGCATCACCACTCTTCCTCTCCACCTTCAATTCTACTGTCAACGCTGCTGTGGTCCTACTGTCTTTGGCAAATATAAGAAAATATTGACGTTAGCGAGAACGACAACTGTCGGCCTGCGGTCGTGTAGTCGTGCAGCTGTCAAAATAACTCTGTCCATAAGAACGTGTGTTTTTTAATATTTGACAGATGTCGTTTGGCGGGCATTGTGTTCAGCACATTATAGTTTTGTTCACCTAACGGTTGTAGGTATCACCTAAAACTAAGCGAGATAGAAAAAGGGGTATGTACATATCGTCATCTGAAATGCAAAAAAAAAAAAAAACAGTTTCGGTAATTTACAGTGGCATGAATGAAACATGAAATAAAATGGAACATGATTGAAAAAAAAATTAATTTTGGTTAAAACTGGTTTATATCTGATCGCAGAACCTAAAAATGTTGAACATATATAATATTATGTATGTAATTTGAAGCCTAATCAATAAGACACTCAATTTCGAATTTTTTGATGATACGTTATTTTGCATTTCAGGACGATATACATAAATGATCAGGACAACGAGAAAATTTGAAATTCGGTTGACTGTCTGTCTGTCCGTCCGTCCGTGCAAGCGGTAACTTGAGTAAAAATTGAGATGTCTCCATGAAACTTGGTATGTGGGTTCCTTAGTACAAAAACTTTCTAGTTAGTAGATGGGCATAATTGGTCTACTGCCACGCCCACAAATCGCCATTAACCGAGAACACATAAAGTGACATAATTAATCACTAAATTAATACATATGAGTTATCCCAATGAAAATAAGAGAGAGTGTTTTCATACCAGTGTATTTTTATGCCTGAAATAGATAAATTTGAACTAAAACTTGACCTAGCTCTATATACCTAATATCAGGATTTTAGAACATTGCCTTAACTCTATTGGTTTTACACCATAAAATATTTCCCTGGCTTTGATTCTTGCAGGTAGTAGGAATATAAAATGTTCGGTTGCACCGAAACTTAGCCCTTCTTTACTTGATTTTTATATCTTGTATTGTTTCCCTGGTGCCTTGCTCTAGACATTTCCTGCAGTCTTCTCGATCTGTCAGCCCCATTTTGCGGACGTGCGGGCCACCAGACAGAGACCATTTAGTATTCCGATTATGTTCTTACAGTCTCTTCTATCGAGCGTTAAAAGGAATTTTTCTGATTAACTGTTTTGCACATGACCTGCAGTTTCGCACCCATTTAGCTCATTCCATCGGGTTTTCGTTTTCATTACCATGCTTCTGTTTAGGTTGTCATATAAAGAATGCATGAGTTTCTCAATGTTCATCACGTTTTTGGGTGACCACTCTTGGTAGTCTCGTCCACTATTTCATTGCCCTCGATGCCTTTGTGGTCTGGCACCTAATAGAAGTGAAGTTCATTGCTTTTGGATGAACCATATTTTTCTATGTTTATTTTGAACCAGTTTTCCCAGTTGGAAAGTGGGATTATACAGTGGGTGTTTGCCAAACCGCCATTACACACCGAACTATGACCGAGGGTTCTATATGTAAATTCTGCTGCAACCAGCAATCGTCCCACCGATTCTGCGCAGTTTTCAACAAAGAGGTGACAGGTTTAATACCAGTTCAAGAGCCGCCGTTTTAGTTGTTAAAGCTCCCGTTATGCACAGCGCAGCAGCCCTCTGACGCACCGTAGAGCAGAATTGGTCTTACAATAGCTGTGCAGCACCAATGCATGAGAGAGAGATTGTGCCGAGCATCTGTCTACACGCATAAGCATTGTTAGCTTTTCTCACTCTTTCTTCCACATTATGCTGCCACTGCAGTATTTTGTCCAAGACTACCCCAAGCTACTTGGTGCGGTACTTAAGAGAAAATTGTGTCCTATTTATTGATTTCTTGTGAACACAGGCGTATCCGTTTTCTCTGGGTTCAACCACAAGCTCGCTTGCGATGTGCAATTCTGGACTGTATAGAGAGTGGTGGTCATAATATTGCTAATGGCAATGTCCGCATATGCTAGGGGCTTTGCCGTCCAAGTACCTTAGTAGTTTATTCACCACTAATGTCCATAGAAGCCGAGATAGCACTACACATTGCTCAGACAGACTTCTTTGCTCGTTCTAGCGTTGTTCCATTCTGCTTTTATCCTTCTAGAACTCAAAAGGCTCTGATTTAACATTGTATAGAAGGGTCAACACCTATTGACTAAATACTATTAGATAGAATAGATTTCGTAGATACGTTGGTGATCGCTTCAGGAATGCTCCAAGAGCGTATTCCTTATATTCAATATCCCTTTTTCATTTATATTTTGATAATCTTAATAAAATTTTAGTAGATTACTATGCGGTGAGCACATATTATAAAGTGAATCTATTCATTTATGTATTGATATATCTTAATTTTATTTTTTATTAATTGATACGAAGTGAAACCTTAAGGGTTTTTTAGTTTCTGGCATCGAATATTAAGTCTGTTATGTGAACATACATGTACTATATATAAGCAATTTTAAATATTAACTAATTTTTACAGAACAAATAAAATGAGTGACGACGCAAGTAATAATCAACAGAATAACAGCTCGACCTCTTCATCTACACCACCTCCACAACAAGATAGTAATGGCAATGTATTGGAAAAAATGCAACAGCATATTCGAACGAATAAAGTCGACGTAGCTATGTGGGCTACACGCATACTCACAGTACTCTTTACATTCAGCTACTTGGTACCACTAATAAGGTTAAATAAATTTAAATTATTTGCGTTCAATATTTTAACTGTTTAATTTACAGTAATCAACAGAGCTCCTTTAACAAAGTATTACTATCGAATGCAGCGACTTCAGCACTACGCCTACATCAGCGTTTACCTTCGTTTGCATTTACGAGGGAATTTTTGGCCCGGCTCTTTATGGAAGATTCCTGCCATTATCTTATGTTTTCTTTAATATTTTTTAATGCGCAACCCACATTGCTAATTCTCATTCCAATTGTTTTGTTCGCCGTATTACATGCATCCAGTTACTCATTAAAACTATTAGACGTGAGTAAATTCCAATATTATAGACACGTTAAAAAAAAAATATTTGGTTTTATATTCCTTAAATAGATTATTGGCCAAAACTCTTGGTGGGGAGCAAGGTTCTTAATTTCGCTGGTTGAGTTCCAAGCCAGTAATATTTTGAAGGCTGCAGCTTTTGCTGAGATTTTTATTATGCCATTAGCTATTGTTTTCACATTCAGGTAAGTTGAAATTTTTTTCATTTCAAAGTTATTAATAAAAAAATATACAGCAATTTACTTCCCCTCGTTGATATTTTTATATCCTGATGTATCTAATACCATTTTTCTAAGTAAAATAATACTCCGAGCCCCCCATTTCTGAAGCAGTAATTGAAATATTGTTGGAGTTTTTATACTCTCGCAACAAAGTTGCTAAGGAGAGTATTATAGTTTTGTTCACATAACGGTTGTTTGTAAGTCCTAAAACTAAAAGAGTCAGATATAGGGTTATATATACCAAAGTGATCAGGGTGACGAGTAGAGTTGAAATCCGGATGTCTGTCTGTCCGTCTGTCCGCCCGTCCGTGCAAGCTGTAACTTGAGTAAAAATTGAGATATGATGATGAAACTTGGTACACGTATTTCTTGGCTCCATAAGAAGGTTAAGTTCGAAGATGGGCAAAATCGGCCCACTGCCACGCCCACAAAATGGCGGAAACCGAAAACCTATAAAGTGTCATAACTAAGCATAAATAAAGATATTAAAATGAAATTTGGCACAAAGGATCGCATTAGGAAGGGCCATATTTGGACATAATTTTTTTGGAAAAGTGGGCGTGGCCCCGCCCCCTACTAACTTTTTTGTACATATCTGGAAAACTACTATAGCTATGTCAACCAAAATGTATAGAGTCGTTTCTTTTAGGCATTTCCATATACAGTTCAAAAATAGAAGAAATCGGATAATAACCACGCCCACCTCCCATGCAAAGGTTATGTTGAAAATCACTAAAGTGCGTTAACCGACTAACGAAAAACGTCAGAAACACTAAATTTTACGAAAGAAATGTCAGAAGGAAGCTGCATCCGGGCTTTTTTTAAAAATTGAAAATGGGCGTGGCGTCGCCCACTTATGGACCAAAAACCATATTTTAGGAAGTACTCGACCGATTTCAATGAAATTCGGTATATAATATTTTCTTAACACCCTGATGACATGTACCAAATATGGGTGAAATCGGTTCACAACCACGCCTGAAATCTCGATTATCACTTTATCATGCGAGAGTATAAAATGTTCGGTGACACCCGAACTTAGCCCTTCCTTACTTGTTAATACTATGAACGTTGAGTTCATCTTGGACGAAATAATTTAATGATTTAAAATTTTTTAAAACCCCTTTAAAAACAAAATTAGAAACAATGACAGTGACCTAATTTTCAATATTTCTTAAAAATTAAATAAAAATATTTGATGAATTTTAACACAAGGCCCATTTTTACCCTGATTTAAATTAAGGACTATTTCAAGCGGAAAAATACTTACAAGACAATACATTACAGTACCTCTCTATTACCATCTATTATAGGAAATGAGGGAGATAGATTTAATCTAACAATTCTATTCATATTCAATGGAAACTTATCAATTTAATTTGATTATAATATCACACATTTTGACCAACGTGTACAATTTAAAGTCAGATAGAAAGTAGGATATCATTATAAACGCTATTTTGAGGACAGAGAAAGGGTGGGCTAATTACATTAATTTGGACACGCATTTTTTTCAACCAAGTTGTTACATATTTATATATACACATACACTGAACGTTATAGTATAAGGTATAAAGCCCACCGGAAGCTTCAAAATTGTGTTGCAGATATATGGGGTCCAAGGATGTATTGATCCGGTTATATATATTTTTGGTAATACCATTAACATGCCACATACTAATAATATGCTCTCGTGCGTACACTTATATCACCAAAATATATGGAGTAAATTTAGCCGCATGTTCGAAAATTGTAATATTAGTTAAACGGCGGAAAGGACAAGTTTTCTACCCGATTTTATTCATTTTTGTTAGATATATTGTTGTTAGTAAAATACACTATCTGATTTTCGCTAAGATAACTCACGTATTGGCCGATATATTGCTGTGATCGAATTGAAAGGTGAATTTTGTCCATTACATCTCCTTCAAAGTAATCCCCTTCCGCTGCAATACACTTATGCAAACGAATTTTCCAGTCATCATAGCCCTTGGAAAAATTCTCAGAGGCGATGGCTATCGGAGCCTTCTTCGATGCAGCTTTTATATTCTTAATGTATATTCTTAATATTCAGGCGAATGCGGTGGTTGTGGCATGATATTAGTTGCAAATGTGGCGAAATGAACACAAATAACCAATTCAGTATGAGATGGAGCATTATCGCATTGGAGAATTCGCGTTTAGAGCCTCACAAAACGCCGCGTATGTCAAATAGTAATGAATATTTTGACGTGGCGTAGTATAAATTAGTTTGCGAAGTATACATTAAAAAACTCAATTTGATCGCAGTGCGGTATAAACTAAACTGGAAGTTCATTAATCTTTGTATTATGTATGTATATGGTATTTGATTCAATCTATTTTGACAAAGAGGCATATTTTTATTAGCATTGTTCTGTATTCCAATAACATAACACACCCCACCGAATATGTCGACAAAATGTTCGCTGTAGTAACTGGTATCTAGAGTTTGACCAATTGTATTCCGATTTTGAAAATTATTGATCGTACCATCTCGAGCGTATTTACATATTTATTGATTTATAGCGCATTTTGAAGTTTTGAACAACGCCGTTGTATAAAGAGTAATTTACAGTGTGCTTAAAGGCCCTGTTACACGTAACGAGTACAGTGGCGAGACAGTATTCTGGCCGAGTATGATACTCGGTCGAGAGAGTTGCGTTGGCGAGTAGAGGTTTACACGTATTTTGTTCATCTAGTTAGACAGTGAATTTTTTCAAAGTTTTATTTACAATGTTTGGTAGAAAAAGACATTGTAAAATAGTTTTTAATGAAGTTCTACCGCATCTCATAAAAGAGTTGTGGGATTTATTGGAAGCAGAAAATAATAGAGTGTGGACAAGACCTAACTTTTCGTATACGAGGTGACTAATCTCATATTGCTGTACTAGTAGGTGGTGTTTGCTGTATTTCAATAATAGAAGGTAAGAACCTGCAAAATTGTTTTTTATGTTAGTTAAATAATAAGAAATACACATATAGCATATATGTATATGTATATCTTATAATGAATTGGTTAAAGTAAAACAAATTTTATTTTCACGTAGCAGCACCGGAATTATGAGTGACTTATATAGTTTGGTTTTTGTTCGTCACCTGTTGACAAGAGTTATCCTGTGTTGGTTTTCCAGGCTGACTTTGTTGGTGATGTTTACTCTGGTTCCAAGATAGACGAAACTATCTACGACTTCAAAGTTGTGACTGTCAACAGTGACGTGAGTGACAAGTCGCGAGTGCGACGACTGTTTGTTTGATGACAGGAGATATTTCGTCTTGTCCTCGTTCACTGCCAGACCCATTTGTTTTGCTTCCTTGTCCAGTCTGGAGAAAGCAGAACTAACGGGCATACGCCAGCAGCTGTACACTCTTATAAAAGATTGTACCTGCTCGATTAAGTTCTGCAGCTCGAATTATTTTCTCCAGCAGCAGAGTGAACCGCACGATAGGGAGTCGCCTTGTCTGAAACCTCGTTTGGTATCGAATGGCTCGGAGAGGTCTTTCCCGATCCTGACGGAGCTTTTGGTGTTGCTTAACGTTCTTCGCCACCGTTTTTGAATTGCTCGGCCGGCAATCTATCGGCCCCCCGCTGCTCTGTTGTAATTTGCGGGTAATTGCTATTCGAACTTCTTCCTGGTCGGGCAATGGAACTTCTGCTCCATCGTCATCGATTGGTGAATCGGGTTCGCCTTCCCCTGGCGTTGTGCGTTCACTGCCATTCAGCAGGCTGGAGAACTGTTCCCTCCATAATTTAATAATAATATAACCTGTTTAGATTAGGAAGTATTAGTTTCGGTACTAAGCCGTGCTCAAGAACGTATGAATGATTATCACTATATATGATATATAATCTTTAAGCGCAATAAGTCGATCTCTGTACACAGTCATGGTCAAGGAAAAGATTCTTCTGCGACTTATACACTCGTATGTGTACTATTTGAGGTTGTTTCCCCAAAGCAAAAGCATTTTGAATGACAGAAATTGCAATAGGAATGTAAAAGAATGAGGCAAACTCAGAGCAAAAACATAGGCATTCGACATAGATTTCAGACACCAGATATCTAACTCCTGAAATGCGCGAATGCAAAAAAAAAAAAAAATAAAATCTGGTACGGTGTTATAAAATGTTATGTTATAAATATTATAACTTCAAGAATGGTAAATTTTAACAGTTTTTTGTATTATTTTCCACCCATACAAAAATTACGTCTYCTTTGTTTAATTGGGGTAAGCTGTTAAACTACTGAAACGAATTTAGTAAATCTTAGCACGATATCCTGTGGGTTCTAACTTAAAAGATGGGAAAGTTTTTATTTCAATTGTGTTGAAACTCAACAAAACATAAATAATGATGTGATCAAAATGAAAAAGAGGAAAAAAAAAAAAAAAAAAAAAAAAAAAAAAAAAAAAAAAAAAAAAAAAAAAAAAAAAAAAAAAAAAAAAAAAAAAAAAAAAAAAAATAAAGAAAATAACTGGAATTGATGTGCTAAATCTTCCATCACATACACCTATTTTTGTCATTTTAATACATGGTAGTGGATTGACTCCTACAACCCATGACTACAAAACAAAGGTAGGATTTCCTGTTGAGAAATTTTTACTATCATTTTCGGATTTAGCAACCCAAAATTCGCAGTCGCAAAAGGACTATATTTTTTTTTATGGTTAAATTTATCTCCTAGATAGGAAATAGAACTAGGTATAACTCAATACATCTTAGCTTCACTTCAGCTGGAACTGTCTCGACTTTAAACGCTAATATGTTTTACGATCAGTAAGACGCCTACATTGCAATCTTAGAGTTGGTGAGGAAAAGCAACAAATATGCAATAAATTCTATTTTCGAAAATATTATTGAAAGTCTTCATTAATATTCTATTTTAAAATATACTTCCACAAAGAAAGTTCTTATTTTTAATTTTTTTATCAAAATTTATATGTCGGAAAATCGCAATATTTCGATCAGTTGATCTCAGTTGTGAGAAAATTTTGACCATATGATATTTTGTTACTTGTATGCATGTAAAACATCGCAGATGGTTTAGCATATGCTAAGTCCCCTTTTATTCCTGCTTTTGAGCGATTTACATAGAACTTTAATCGCTTTCCTTAACATAGCTGCCAAATTCAAAAGACAAAAAGGCGAAAGGGAGATATTTGACAACCTAATATTTGCATTTTGTACGGAAAGAGGTTTAATAGCAGAAACAGTGGAGAACGTAGAATCGTGGCCCGTGTCAGCTGATACGACCCATCTTATGGGCGCGCAATGTAAGTGATCAGTGAAAAACGCTACACCCTTCTCTCTTTAATGTAGGGTGACGTCAGAATTCACAGCATTTGGATTTTTGCCGTAGAAACGTGTCAGTTGATTGCTCTCTCACAACGCAGGGTTGCCAATATCTATATACTGGAGTAATTATCAACTTTTATAATTCAATCTGTTCAATATGTTTGAAATTTTCTCAAAATAACTGAAAATCAGAGTCGAATGCTATTATTTATAAATATATAAACTATTTTTAATAGTTTGTTTTCAGTTTTGATATTTTATATTATAAAAAATTGTAATTGAAAACATAAATGTCTACAAAACTATATATGCGTATTGAGATGGCTGATTACTGCGTTTTGGCCACGTTCTCAACTGTTCAAACATTTAGCTCGATAAGAAAAGAAAAGTAAGGACGGCAGTAGCGTTTTTGACTGGTTCTGCTATAAGTCATCATGAATTATGCGTTGGAAGATAAGTTGTGAGTCGAAACTCTTGAATTCGCCTGAATTGACGATACAACATCTGCCATTATTTCTTGAACATGTTTCTGCTTCTTTACTGGCGTAGACACCGGTTATGCGATTATAGCCGAGTTAACAACTGCCAAAAGAAGCCAGGTACTTCTCCACCTGGTCTTTCCAATGGAGTGGAGGTCTTCCCAGAGTCTTTGTCTTGAGAACTCGCAACGTCGATTCATCAGTTGTTGTCATGGTCCAAGCCTCTCCAATCAGCAGATTGAAGAAGTCGCACGATAGGGAGCTTTTGGTATTGCTCAACGTCAGTTGACACAGACGTATTAGTTTTGCTGGAATACCAAATTCAGACATCGCGGCATAAAATCAGCTCCTTTTCGTGCTGCCGAAAGCAGTTTGAAATCGAAGAAGGGGTGGCGTGTGTTGATTCTCCCTTCACGCGTCTTTTCCAAAATTTGACGCATGGTGAATATCTGGTCCTTTTTTGAATTGCCATGTCCAAGCCACAATGTTGTTGTTGTTGTTGTTGTTGTTGTTGGAACGGCAGAATTCTGCCAAGTTGACAGTCCCTGGCCGGATAAAAATCCGGGTCCGGTTTCGTCGACCCGACTGTGGTGGGAACGGTCCAAAGCCACACTGATAAGGTCCAATCAGTTTGTTGACGGTGGGCTTTAATCTTTCACACAATACGCTCGATATAACCTTATACGCGAAGTTGAGGATGCTTATCCCACGGTAGTTGGCGCAGATTGTGGGGTCTCCTTTTTTATGGATTGGGCATAGCACACTTAAATTCGATTCGTTCGTCCGACCATATTTTACAAAGAAGCAGATGCATGCTTCTTATCAATTCTTCGCCGCCGTGTTTGAATAGCTCGGCCGGTAATCCATCGGCCCCATTGCTTTGACGGGTTGAACATGTTTACCAAACTTATAATGATCCCAGTTTGGGAGTGCTACCAACATCCCGTCTTAATTTCCTTTGGACGGAAAAGGCGGACTGCAAAGCATGGTACCGTTGCACTATCCAAACCCGCTTTTCAGTATCACAAACATTAATTTTTAAAAAATTTAAATAATAACCTTCCAAATAAAAAAGGTAGTTGAGTATTCATACTTAAAAAGTTATTACGGTTTATTTTTGTAGCACGACTCGTGAGCAACTCTGTTTCATAATAGTGCTTGGAAACTTATCAATCACATCCTGACAGGTGATGAACGAGCCCGAAAGTAAACAGGATTTGTAATCGCTCGTGTAGTCTTCATTTGGCCCCGAATTCCTTTTTTTATTTCCGTACGGAAGAAATAAACTAAGAAGTAAACGATTTTCGACATCTGAAGAGGTGGTTGAAGCGTTCACAACGTATGTTTTGGAGCTGCCTAAAACAAAATGTTTAAAAGTGATTCGACAATTGTTGTATTTTAACATGCAAAATTGTACAGACCTTTTATTCTCTAATGCCGAGTTATAAAAGGTTGCATGCACTATAAAYACTTTAAAGTGGATAATTTTGAAGAAGACATTCATTTCAATTTGGGTAARGTTCAAAGACAAGCTTGGWGTTAAGAAACAAGGAAATGTGYAGAACATGCCACCAAATGTATATACATATATGTATATTAAAAAATAAAATTAAAATTGAGTGTTACCTAGACTGCAGTAACAAAATTAAATGTTTTTTTTTTCAAGATATCAAATGTATTTCGAAATTAGATCTCTTAAGTAAAAAAACAGTAACACCAATATTAATTGGAACCTTGATTCTATGAACGTTAATGTTGGTTGATTTACAATCTATGCATATTCAGTTATCCCTCAAACAAAAACGAATTTTTTTGGTTAACATATAAATAAAACGACTTTAGGAATATTGTTGTTTTTGGGTTTAGGTTTTTGAATGATAACTGAATGAGAATGGGTTGTAAACCATACAAAATTATTTATGTCATGAAGACTCACCAACACTTATAAATTATTACTATTACGAAGCTGTGATCCCTATTTGGATATACAGATCCGATGTGCAATCGTGTATCTGCAGACTAGTGTGCAGTCTAGAATCGGGTGCTAGGGGTTTCCGACTTCATGGCGTAACCGGTAGTTTGCACAAATGTTAAACAGCTGCCTACTCTCTCCTTCTTGCAGCTCCTTTATGGAATGGAAACCAACCGAAGGCAAAACAAGGTTTTGGTCCGAGCATCCTGTACGAAATCTAGCACCCAAATGAGCTGAAATCATTTGTAAACTGTTAAGAAGGTTCAGCCGTTTTCTATACTCCTGCACCAATAGCGATTTAATCTCGTAAGATGAGATCGCATTAAGTGCCATTTGACTGTCGCTGAATATGGCAATACTTTCAATAACTTTCCTAAAACGATGCAAAAGTTGTATGTATGTGTATCAGTCACAACTTTTCAACTTTCGCATTCCTTCTTTTCCTGATAGCTAGGATTCTTTAACTATTGTATACAACATTTTGAAATTTCTTTGCGATTAAATTGCTTATCAACATAAAAAGTGAATAACTCATGTAAAAACTTTTTTTTGAATATGAATGCAGTAAAAAGGATTTTTAATAATTTGCAAGTTTTCTTATCTATTTCAGAGGAAAAACAGGACTAATGACTCCGATAGTTTACTATCATTTCTTGGTTATGCGTTATAGTTCCAGACGCAATCCTTATACCCGGAACGCTTTTGCGGAACTTCGCGTTAAAGCCGAGGCCTTAGCCGCCTCATCACCTGCGGTTGTTGGTAAGATCATACATAGTGGCATCGCTTTTGTGACTCGTTTAGCGCCGCAACAACAACCGGAGCAACCATCAGCAACACAATAAGCATTTTTTCGTACATCAGCCTTTTGTTTTTAAATTATGTTCCACTAATATGAAAAAAGACATATGTTTAATATTATATTTTACAAAAAAGTACCTTAGGAAATAAATGCAATTTAAACATGCGACGTCTAAACATTTGCCTTCAAAGGTTACATGAATAACAACAAAAATGTATAACTATAACAAATATAATTTAAATGTAAATTGGAACACAACACATTGAGTTTTAAATTGTACGACAATTTTTATTACATTATAAGGTATTATGTAACAGGTATTTGTTCAAGATTTTTTCTCTTGAAATTATTTTTAGTTTCCTCTTTATGTAGTCATTGGTGTTAATGTGCAATTATCTCGATATATGAATGATATCAATTTGAATAAACAATTATATTTATATCATGGGATTAACTTTTTTATTTAATATAAAGCGTACATTTTATTGAAGTTTTGAATTAATCACTGATTAACTTCACAGAAAATATTGTAAATACTAACGAACGAAATTGTAGCGAACTTTGTAATCAGTCCGTCCTTAGTCTAAACACTGATTTGTTAAATAAAACATAGATATTACTTCCAATTTACTCTACTTTAAATTAATCCTGAAATCGTTTTTGGTGCTGCTTTTTTAACTCCTGGTGAAAGATAATGAAAATGTGTCAACCCCACACAATGATGTCATAAGATTTAATTAGAGTGCCCATACCGTAACGTCATATGCAATATGGTAGGGCACCATTAATTGTACGAAGTATTGCCCATAAAGTTGGTTCAATCATCTGTTTTATATGGAAAGTACTACAAGGTGCGTTCCTAAGTAAACAGGACAGAACAAATGTTTTTTACGTCAAAATCAATTTATTTTATTCAAAATAGTCTACTTTTGCTTCAATGCAGCTTTTTGCATGGTTCAAAAGCATGTCGAATGAGTGTTTTAGCTCGTTAGCCGGTATGGCTGCCAGTATGCCGGTGCAAGCCTTTTGAATGGCCTCTACGTCTGCTTTCCTTTCATGAACAAATGCATTTTTCCGAAAAGCAAGAAGTCGCAAGGTGCCATATCAGATAAATACGGGGAGTGATTAATGGTTAACGCAGTACCCGCCGGGGGAAGCAGAGGAAGAGGAAGACCTCCACTCCGTTGGAAGGACCAAGTGGAGAAGGATCTSGCTTCACTTGGAATATCTAATTGGCGCCACGTAGCGAAAAGAAGAAACGACTGGCGCGCTGTCTGCTGCTATAATCGCGTAAGCGGTGTCTACGCCAATCAAGAAGAAGAAGAAGATTAATGGTTAAAATGTGATTTTTGACCTCTTCACAAGTTGATTGTCTTTCTGTCCTCACGAACGCTTCAGAAGTAAAAATCACTAGACACCAAACTGAGACAGCAAGAAGGTTAATGTCATCTGCTATGCAGGCAAAAATCCCACTGTTTAATTTTGGTAAAGTTCTGTTTAATATCTTGATGTTAACATTAATAAAAACTAAGGCTGAGAGTCATTCGACCACATATGGTTATTGGCTGTACGCAAATGTTATCCGGTCCATTATATCATATGGAGAGCTATATTCGTTGCATTTTACGTAATAAATCGCTGGAACACGGCCTGCTCCAYTTCAACAAAGGCTCTGTAAGTCACTTTTGATATATAGTATAGCTAATACGAAATCGAAAGAAATACGATACAGTGCTTATGGCTAGCTGGCTCAAAGTTTTACATATCATACTTTATTGTTACAGAACTTGGGCTAGACTGATCAAGTGATCAGGAAAATACGATCTATTGGGCGACAAATAAAGAGAAGAGGACGGTAGGAACGGTGTTAACTACATACTATACATCCAGCGAAACAAAAAACCGCAGCAAGTGTTTTTACAAATTCATTGTAAACGGTATTTTGACATTTTGCTTTAAATCTCATGAATTTCAAAGCATCCGGTTGTGTGATTAGTTATTGTAATTCGCGTTTTCTTTATAATAAATCAAAATCAGGCCTAAGAAAATGCAGCTTTCTTTGTCACAAAAAGCTATTATTATTTCGTTGGCTAATCAAAAATGCAAATAAATTAGCAGCACAAATATATTTAAACGACAGCTCAATGTAATGTTTTTTTTTGGAGAAATATCCTAAATTTGGCAAACTAGAGAAAAAGGAAGAAAGGAAACCTTAGCTTAAGAGAAGACGTCACTAACTTAGGGACAAGTTTACAATACTGATGTAAAAATGCTGTCGACATTAAAGCAGAGTTGCAGCAATCATTCAGTAATAATATTTTAAAAATAAATTAATTACTTAAGCGTTTTATATGAATCCACCCCGAAATGGGTTAAAAGGGTCATAAACGCTAAAGGTGGCACCACAAATTAATAAAGAGATATAAAACGAATTTTTGTCACAAAATTTTAATAAATGTCCATTTTTTAATTTAAAGAGTTRGGTTAGGTTAGATTAAACTGGTAGGTAATAAGCTCTTTTGCGATATCAAAACTTTTGCCCACGATGCCTTAGTGACCTGGCACTCAGTAGAAGTGAAGTTGCAGTTCTGGACTGTATTGTTAGTTGTGGTCATAATATGTACTGCTAATGGTCTATAAACACCTACCCAATATTAAGATGGCAATGTCGTCCGCTAATGTCACTATTATAGGGGCTTTGCCTTCAAAGTTCAGTCATCGCTCCATTCAGCTCTTATCCGTCTAGAGATCAAAAGGCTTCTGATCAAGCGGGATCAACACCCGGGCGCTGCGATCTTAATGTGCGCGTCAAAAATCTCTCTGGCGTTTTCAACAGGAAGGAAGTTAAGCTTATAGGCCAAAATTCTTTTGAGTCACCCTAGCCTCTCTCCATGAGTGTGGTACATGCTGAACTTTATGCATCCCCAAAAAATCGCTCTTAGCCATGGCACGGATAGAAAGAGTGCATTCTGGAATGATTGCGTCTGTAACGGGAGATTTGTATGGGTTGAATGAGCGGATTGCCCATTTTATTTCATTCTCCGTAGAGATGTGTTCAGGAATGTTTGCCTCACTGCTCCCTTCGTAGCTTACCGCGGTCTTACATCTTGGAAAGTACACACACTGAGCAGTTGTCCATCCACTTTCCGCTAYTTTAGGCGAGGCGGAGCTTTTGGATAAAAGTTCGTAGGTCTCGACACCTCGTTGGCCTTTTTTAAAAACCACTACAATAGTTTTTCCAGGATTCTCGCTGGGTTCTGCGCACCAACTTCTTGTAGTCTCTTAGAAGATATTTATATTCATTTAAACAGTCCTCGCTTAATTTTAGCTTGACCCAGTTGAAGCACCCTCGTACTTTACGTCTGCATGATCAAAACTCTTTTTTTCACCAAGGAGAACACCCTTACATTGTTAAGTACCCTCAGGGCGTATGTTGGCTGAAGCCACAAACAGCCCAGCGATCACTTTAACCGATCCGATCCATGGTTCCCGCACAAAAGCCACGTCGTAGCCGCCCTTCTATAAATTGAGAAGATGCTCGGTAGAGGGGATCTTACTTTTGTGGAGGTTCACTTGGAGTACCCTCAGCTCTTGGTTCTGGACCATCAGATAGCTGACTGTGTTCTTTCTCCACCTCATATAGGACAAGTGAATTAGCCATGATCTCTTCTGTACCGACATCCTTTTCTACTTCACCAGTCTCCAAAGTGTTTTTGTTGCCGTCGTTATTGATCTGGAGGATGTAGCTTTGGCTTCCATCTTCGTCGATAGATTTCACCACGCTAAACACCATCCAGGCGCTAGTTGGCCCGTCTGGATTCTATCGTTGAATTTTTTCCACTTTTTTCCACCGCTCCTGTAACATTTGTCCCAGCGGGTTATTGCGGTCTATGAGCGCGTTGGTCAAATGCCGTTTTGCTATCTCATTGGTTGCCGCCGCTGTCTTATATCTTGTCGGTTTGTGCCCGTGCTTGACGTCTAGCTTCCCGGCTACGTCTTTGCRCTTCCTTTGAACGCTGCCTCTCTGCAGCGATATGCTCCTCATTAGCAATGGCCGTTGTATTACCCATTCACSTAMTTCTGAGGATGTATGTGGAGTAGTCCAATATAAGATAATGATGTCTTCCTGAATTAGGCGGATACTCACGAAGAATCAATGCTATAGTGTATTATCGTGGTGCAAAAACCAAGAGTTGTCGACCCATAATTCTAGTCTCTTTTTTTATAAATAGCTTCACGCAAACGACGCATAACACTTAAATAGAATTCCATGTTGACAGTTTGGCCGGTCGGAAGGAATTCGGAGTACACTACATCTCGGCAATAGAAGAAAACTGACAACATAAACTTGATTTTGACCTACTTTGAGATGGTTTTCACGGCAGTAATAATAMGTTTAATGAATCCTGGTAGTCGAAAAGTATTGTTTCACAGACGTTTACGACACGCAGTTTTTCGGAAAGAATTGAGTGCTTTTGGAACAAATCGTGCTTTCATTTTTCTTGTGACCAAATTATCTTTCAAAGGGGATTTTAGTTATCTTTCCGACATTCCAGCGATGCCGGTAAGATCTCTGACTATTAATCGTCGATTCTCAAGCATCAATTTCTTTATTTAATTGGCGTGTTGATGGACGTCCTAGACGTGGTTTGTCGTCAATGCGTTGTCGATCCTCTCTAARTAATTTTTACTAATCAAAAACACTTGCTCCCAACAAAGATTTTTTACCGAACACAAAAATATGGAGCTTTGATTTTTGTACATCCCTACTAATGTTATAAATGCGAATGTAAGTTTGTTTGTTAAGCTTGTATGTTGGAGTACTTTATAGTAAAACCAAAAAAAAAAAAATATTACGAAAGATAAAAAAATGGTTTGTTAAAAAATCGTCAAATTCAGCTACTTCAACGCCTAGATGGTTACAGTAATGAAGTTTCAACMCTGAATACTGTAATACCGTCCCACTGTATTACCGACGTTGACGACAATATCTAATTCAATTGAAGATAGTTTCAACTGTTTCTAATTTTTCTATATTTATTGTTATTTTCTTCTGTCGTTAGACGCAGTATATGGAATAAGTACAAAGAATACATGGCTGAAGATATTTTACATCAACTTCAGCAAGTACACACAGATATTACTTTCAATGAACATGTCTACAGTCTAATTATAATCGAAAACGAGGTTTTTACGATGGTTGGGAAAAAATTAGATGATTTTTTAATGGACGAGACAATATGGATGATTTTGATATTGAAATTGCTCGAGAGCTAGATTATGATTTCATAGCACTGCGACATCAAGTGACAGAATTAGTCCCTCAATTAGTTCCAGAGCAAAATCATGTTTTCCATCAAGTTTTCCCTAAAATAAACYCCGGCAGTGGTAGACTCTCTCGACGCACCAGGAGGAACTGGAAAAACGTTTTTGTTTGACTTATTATTAAT